TTCCCTCCAGTTACTGTCAGCATTACAACATGCCACCGCGTCCAGCAATTCCTAGTCAATGAATTTACTACCATAGTCTCCGCTCTCAACTTGACCATGAGCACCGCCTTTGCTGTCGACCCCAGCAAGTGCCTGCCCACGACCATCACGGTTTGCGGCACCTTTGATGAAAAGCCCGTTATAATAGATCAGCTGGCTGACAGCATGAAGTATGCGGTTGATGCGGTTGTTAGAGATCTAATGAACGAATTCTGCGCTCTGTCGAGCGGTATGTCTGTCTTCCTGGACACCGATGGAAACTGTTTCGACGTCTTGTCGTCGTCTCAGTCGACAAGACGTCTTTTTGACTTGTCGCCTCAGTCGACAAGACGTCTTTTTGACTTGTCGTCTCCGTGGTCGTGCAGTCGTCCGCCAACGCCTTTTCCGATGTGCAAGTAAGCGAGGGGGTAGGGGCTTTAAGTAGGGGCTTTAAGTAGGGGCTCTTTACGAAATTATGCTGGGCGATGAATGCGCAGTTGGGCTGGCAATGATCTGGGCTGGGATCGCATGGCTTATTTAGGATATGCCTTGTCTGGCTGGTGGCAGGTCCAGGTGTTTTAAATTTCTTAGGGTTTTAAAATGTTCTAAAATGTTTTAATCTTTAAAAATGTTTAAAATGTTTAAAAGGTCTGCTTAGAGAGGCATCCGCCTTTGCGCTTCACGCGTTTTCTAACGGCGCACATCACTGAACACGTATTTGTCTCGTTTGTTAAACCTCTTCCCAGATGCAATCAGCGAGTGGGCATCACTCCGTTCTACTCGCCGTCCAGCATCAGTATGGAACCCGGACGCCTGCCGAGTACGACACTGTACTGCTTCATAATAGACCAAGTCCCCAACAAGTTTCTCAAGACAGTGGTGAGTTAAACGATTCTGTTCGGTTGTTCTTTCTGTTGCATCCCCCCCGTCGCAAATCCTTTTCCGCGGACAGTAGTATGAACCACTAGGGGGAACGGACGATGGTTCACGAACGTCCCTTTCGCTCCTCTCTCCGTAGATGTAAATGTAGATGTAGATCCGATAAGCCCCTTCATAGTTCCCCACTAACCCTCCCTGGCCTACCCCCCCCCTCCCCCCCTCCCCCTCCTCCAGCCCTCCTGCGGCCCCACGGGCGTGTTGGATAAGGTGGAGGTCTACGCGGATGAGAAGCGGCGCCGCAACATCACCGGCATCAGGGTCACACCCAGCGGAGGTCCAACACGATGGCTGTCGCCGTCGTGGGGGGCCAACGGAACAAACACACTCAAAGGTATGACAACAGGGAAAAATAGCGAATCGCCATGCCATATCTCATCGCTGTCGTTTCCTTAAGAGAAATGGCACACATAAGGTTTCCCCTTGTTGTTATCTGTTGTTGTTGTTGTACGACTTGCATTTTACACCGTAAAAGTCTCCAAAACGTTCCAAACTACACCTGCCGCTGCAGTTACTCCGCTAAGCTGGAACACGACCCGAGCTGTCGGCAGTTCCGTTTGCTTGGAGCTCACTGTACCGCTATACACGTTCTGCCAGGGCACGAACGTTTGGTAAGTCGGGCCAGCCACATATTATACACATCCTGATGTCGGATATTTATGTAGCGCTGGTCCATGGTCAACTGCTCAGTATGTGTTTCCTGCGTTGCTGTGTGGTACACTCGTCGTACAAGCTGCCTTTAATTTTAAAATTTCATTATTTTAAATCTTGTTTTTTTATTGGTACTGACTGATTGCCATCCTCCCTTTTTGCAACGTCTTCCACAGCTACCTCAGCTTGTTTAACGAGAACAATGATTGCTGTCCTACGTACCCTGCCGCGCTGCCGTACGCGTCATCCTAAGGCCACTGCCAGGATGTGAAACGCATACATTGCATATCGTAAGCATTGATCATGTAGATTTGTTCGAATTGTTCAAGAGTGAGGGCATTACCATTTGTATTGCCTGAGTCTGTAATTATTTTTTTGTTTCATAAGGCCTCTCCGAGCCCGTTCCGGAAACACTTGGGAGGTTCGCATAAACTGCTAAATGTTCTTCCAAAAAATGCAGCGTGTATGTATGTCATTAACAATGTTGAATTATTTTTGGTCGGAGGCTTTTTTTGTTGATTTGTACGTTTTTCATGCAGCCCGGCGTTTTTTCCCGGCGTTTTAACCACTTGGTGCGTTAAATCTGTTGTTTCAGTTGTCCTAGGTAGATAGATAAGTAAATAGCTGGTAGCTAGTTTAAGCTCAGTGAACATGACTTGGGAAGAAATATAGATTCCATCAGACTTGTAGAGCTATCAGACGCGTCGCAGCGCCAGAGCGCCAGGACGCATGTTTATAGACTGTTCCTCGGCAACATGCAACTCTCGACCCGGCACTCGTTACAGCAACTCATTTGCGCTAGCCGCTATCTCAAATCCGCACATCATTGTGTACGAGGGTGTGTACGAGTGGGAGAGTGTGTGTATATGTGTGTGTATATGTGTGTATATGTGTACGTGTGTGTGTGATCATGCATCAGAGGCTACACCGACCACGAACCGCAACCACGAACCACGAATTCTCACGGAACGATATTCTGCGGTGCGTAGAGCGGATCACTCGGCGGAACACCTTTTTTTGTTATTCGGGAATGCTTATTTTCTTGTTATCTCCTGTTGTGTCTGGAATGTAGCGAGTAATTCCCGCTGCACCCGCTGTGAGCGTGCTCAAGGAAGTGTGTTGTGTTGTGAGCATGCTCAAGGAAGTGTGTTGTGTTGTGAGCATGCTCAGGCTCAGCCACGCTGTAACCCGTAAATCCAACTACGTTCCCGAGCTGCTGCTGATGAATACCCGCTATCCGATCTTGCGCTGGCCACGACCCAGACTGGACCACGGAGAGGGGTTAGAATTTACGGTAGTGAGCATGCTCTGCCTTCTTCCATTAATGACAATTACCTGTGTTGCACCGTCAACGAATGCTAGGACCTCAAGCACCCCGACGGAGGGCCAAAGAGCCACATGGGCGACCCACCCAGGGCCAGCGATGACAAAACCATGGACCGCTGCATTGTGGCAACCCCCGGGATTGCCCTGGGTGTGTGGGGGATACGACGAGGCACAGACGATTGACGAGAAGAGGAATACAGACGGGTACTGCAAGATTAGACCAATAATATGGGACAAGAAGTAAGAAACTGACCCGTGGGTGGGTGGAGGGAAACTAGAGGACACTGTCAAAACAACGGCAGTTAAAGAACTAATGCGCCTGTGGGACCCCAAGTAGAAGCTTGGCGTCCCCTGCCGTACTGCGGTCCGGCACATGCATGCAGCATGCGCCCTGCTTCCACGCACCACGGCAGCTCCCCTTCGCAATAACTACTTGCCTATCTCTACACTCATACTTCGCTCCGAGAAGTTGAAGCATATTTGCATATTTGCAGGCTGCTGCTTGAGCTCCCCTTGTTTTGGGGGGAGGGGGGAGGAAACGCGATTCTTTAGTGCCTTCAAAATCAACGTGATAATATTCAAAATCAACGCGATAATATTCGAAATCAATGTGATAAGATTAAGCTCTCAGCCGTATATTGATCCGTCCAGGACACGAAAAGACGAGATTCATCCTTGCTGAGCCCTTTTAAGTGACGCATTACAAATGACCTGTGTTCCAATGACCAAGTACAAATACAACTGGCCCGCTTATTGTGACCCACGGGTCATACACGTCACAGAATTTGGAAGGTCGTCTCTCCATCATCAATGAGCACCTCTGATTGCATGCTGCCCGCTCCCATACGAATGACCTCCAACTCCACAACAAGCTCCTGCAACACATCCTGCAGCTGAGCCCTGGCGGCGGCAACGCCGCTGCCGCTCCCCCCGCCGTACAGCCGCTCCGCAAGCGCCACCGCCGTCAGCGGCCCGTCGTCTCGAAGAAGTGACATTACCGCATCCCGGGTCACAGCCGCCGTTGGCTGCTGCTGCTGCTGCTGTTGCTGCTGGACAGAGGTTGCAGCTGGAGAAGGTACGACAGCGGCGCTCGCCGCCATCGTCGTGTTGGGCCGCTTGGCAAGGCTGCCGCCGAAAATGGCTGGCAGTGTGCGTTTCTTGCCTGTGATGATGGGGGGTCGGTAACCTGCGCTGCCGGTCGCGGTGGTCTGTTGCGATGCAGAGGACGGCTGCTGCTGCTGCTGCTGCTGCTGCTGCTGCTGCTGCTGCTGCTGCTGCTGCTGCTGCTGCTGCTGCTGGTGTTGCTGTCGGACAGCAGAATCGCAGCGCCCGGCGATGCCCGCAAGGTAATTGTGAGATGGAACCGAGCCGGCTGAAGGGGGGCCCCCCGTCACAGGCAGCCCCGCGAAGTCCGGGGTATCGCTTGGGGACACAGAAATCATGTCAAATGCGAAGTCTGGGGGGTGTTCTCCCCCTCCTGCCACACCTCCTGCAACACCTCCTTCAGTGCCGGCACCGGCCATATAAAGGCTCGATCTTCTGGACAGCGTACTCACAGCGTCGAAGGTTGAGGTGCCGGCTGCGGCCGCGGCTGCGGCGCATATGCCGTCCAGGGTAACAGGGCTGCCGCTCACGACTACCTGGCTGCCGCTCGTACAAACGCCGCTGCCGCCGCCGCCGCCGCCGCCACCGCCGTCGTCCCCGGCACCAATCCTATCGCCAGCCTCTTTTCCAAACTGTTGTGTATCCAGCGGCAGTGGAGCCCTGCCGTACTGGTGATGTAGGGGTGTTAATGACCCATGGGTCGATGGTGTGCCGCTGGTGGCCACGTGTTCCGCCATCCGCTGTTCCTCCGCCAGCTGCCCCGACTGCAGTTGGCCGCCGTCCTGCTGCATGGGAGCCGCGTGGTGATGGTAGTTACTCCCGGCCCCGAGGCCGCCGGTTGGTACCCCATGGCCGCCGCGATGGGGGTGATTGAATGGTGGAGGGGGACACGATTGCGGATGTCGCCTCTGCTGCTGCTGCTGCTGCTGCGGTTCTTGCTGCTGTATCTGCTGTTGGTGCGCCGACATCGACCGCGGAAAGCCAGTCAACGACGGGTTTGGGCTGTGGAGTGACGGGTGCGGAGATGCCGCTGCAGCTGCAGGTGTCCTCGCACCTGCTGTGACGACATCATCGCCAGTAGACTGCCCCCGCTGACCTGCGCGGAAATCGATCCAGGCATTGGGTCCTCCGGCCGCCCACTCTCCTAGAGGCGGCGGCGGCGGCGTCGAGTGCGGTTGCGGGGTGGCGGTACTTGCGGCCCGAGTGCTCGAGGGTGTGATTGCGGCGGTGGTCGGCTGGCAGGGTGAGGGGGGTGGCTGAAACGCGGTGAATGGCGATGATGGCAGGGGCTGTGACGAGGAGTTGAGTAGGGGGCGACCCGTAGGTCGGCTGGCAAACCATAGGGCCCCGATGGCCATAAGTGCGGCGACCACCTGTACATCGCATATCGTTGACAAACAGAGGGATGTCAGGGCGTGTGGCAGCCGTGCCGACGATACTTCCCGCGTCGCCTCTCGGCCCCGGCCCTCGCCGCGGCCCACCCAACTTACCTATCAATGAGCCGTCAATGGCATTTCCTCGACTCGCTCGCACGAACAACTTAGGGCGAGATCCGCAAGCAACACCCACGCATGAAGAGAACGAACCCCCAACAGAACAATCGAGCCCAGGAACGGTGAATGCGGTAATGTGCCTGAGGCCCGATCTCCGCATGCATCGCTAACAGGGTTATGTATCGCTGTGCAGGTATGTGCCAGTACATGCAGGTATGTGCCAGTACATGCAGGTATGTGCCAGTACATGCAGGTATGTGCCAGTACATGCAGGTAAATGCCAAGTCCAGCATGACCCCCACCTTGATCTGGCTGTAGTCGGTCACCTGGCCGGTGCTGTCCAGGGAGCGCTTCACAGCACCGATGCCGCTGGCCGCATGGCTCTCTACAGCAGTCGCTACCTACATTGCGTATAATAAAAAGTAGAAAAACATCCAAATAAAATAAAAGAATCGACGCGCAATTGATATAGACAGTATGAGGGTGAAGGAAGCTACCAGCTAAGAGGTTGTTCTCAGCCCTCGCCCTCGCCCTCGTGGTGGTGATGGTGGTGGTGGTGGATGTGATCGTCCCGCGGGAGAGCAATGCCCCCACAGCGCGTCTTCGTTTCCACACACACACACATCTGCTGTGGCCACAAGGTTGATCTGCTGTGGCTTGGTCTAGACACACATGCATACATGCACAAACACAAAAACACACAAAAAAACGCGTTGCGCGATGTCGAAACTCCACAGACCCCTCACCGCAAGTGCTTTAACCCGGTCGATTCCCGCCTCCAGAGCCAGACGAGGGGGATCTCCGGCACAACCCGCAGCCACACACTCTGCCACGTAGCCTGGGTTGGGGGTGGAGGGTAGGAGGAGGGGAGGAGGGTAGGAGGAGGGTAGGAGGGTAGGAGGAGGGTAGGAGGAGGGTAGGAGGAGGGTAGGAGGGTAGGAGGAGGGTAGGAGGGTAGGAGGAGGGTAGGAGGAGGGTAGGAGGGTAGGAGGAGGGTAGGAGGAGGGTAGGAGGGTAGGAGGGTAGGAGGGTAGGAGGGTAGGAGGAGGGTAGGAGGAGGGTAGGAGGGTAGGAGGATAGAGTCGGAAAAGAGAAGGGGCCGATAAAGGGCAAAGAGGGGTTTCAGGCGTTGTGCGTATGTATGCATGCATGCATGTGCGAGAGAGAGAGGCGGCAGAGGAAAATAGGGGGAAATAGAAGTGCCCAAAACGGCTGCAATCCAGGCGCACAGCACACCGCGAGGCTATGCTGTCCTGTGCTGTGATGTGATGTGCTGTGTGTGATGTGATGTGCTGTGGGTCAGATTGTGACCCAAGCTGTAAGTTGTGTTGTGTGCGAGGCTGTTAGGCCGAACCGGCTGAACACCGGCGCCTCTTCCTCCTCCGCCTCCAACTCCACTTCAGCCTCTTCAGTCCGCCTCTTTCCGCCTCTTCCTG